TATATATACTATATATAATATATGTACATATATTATATATATTTAATCTATCTCCTTCCTTCCATCTCTTTTCCTTTTCTCTCTTTATATTCTCCATGGCCTGAGGGGCATCAATTCCCAGAGCAGTCTCTCAATACCATTCCTTTTGAAAATCTTATTTTTTTTCCAGTACTGGGGATTGAACCCAGGGCTTCATGCATGAAAGTGATTTACTGAGCCACAACCTGGCTCATGAAAATCTGAAAATGCTGGATGGGGTTCTCACTCACTTTGACACCCAAATAACCCTTAGTAGGTGCCCAGTCCAAACCTATACATGTAGATTCCATTGCTTACATCCTGTGCCTTCATTTGTCTCTCTCATTACTGATGGAGACTCAAAGTAAATTTTTATAGCAACTGCTTACCCTTCTAATTTTTTTTCTTACCAATTAAATAGGACATCAAAATTATACAAGAAATTATATTTACTAAAAAATAAGATCTTTGTGAGAAACTTCAAACAATATTCTTGTTCTTTATAACAAATATTCTAGGCAGAGACCAAACAAATTAATAAATGAGCAGTGTATTATTAAGATAAAGAAGGGAGAAAATTTGATTTGTTATTCATAATTACTCTATTATTCTTGATGAAACCAATAATCTTCAGAAAGAATAGAAAGCATCTTTCCCTTTATCATCAGTGGGTTATTAGTTGACAGTATTTAAAATGGCACTCCTGGTCTTTGATTCTTTTTGCCATAATACTCTTGAAGGTGAGGTCCTAAGCTAACTTTGTAGCCCTCTCTAACCAACAAGCTGACTTAGATTCTTGTCCAAAATGAAAGCTACTTTCTCCAGCTAAATAGTAAACACTTGTAGGATGGAGTTTTTCACTTATTTTATATGTGCTGGGTCCTGCATCCATTTAGTATGTTGCTAGAAAAATGGAATATGCAAAAGCCTAACACAGCAGTTCAGCAGCTTCCTAGACACTAATCTTCAAGTTGGAGTGTCAGTAAAATAAAGTGGACAAACGTACAGGTTTTATTTTATTTTTTTCACATCTTCATACATATATTTTGTACAACAATGAAGGTCTCTGTATAATTCATATCAACCAAGTCCTCTTTCTTCCTTCCTTTCCCTGCATGTTGATAGATGATCTCCCAATTATTATTCTGTCTTCATTTTTCCAAAGATGAGAAACACACCATTTTTTCCCCTTTATAGTTCATTTATTCTTTGGTTTTGACTGACCCTTACATGTATACATACACAATTTTTTTCTTTATCTTTTGCTCTTCATTGGTACCCTTAGAAAATTTTTCCCTTTTTCCAGGCTCACAGTAGATATGCTAACAATTAAAGAGAAAACTTTAGTGGGATGGAGAAAAATTTGAATGCTTGCTTGTAAATACTTTTATTTTCTCCAACTCTGGTAAAACTCTCTCTATACCTTAAGGATTCCTGATGCCAGTGTTTCTTCTTTATGAAAGTTGTTCTCAAACTTTGATGGGCATTAGAAACCACTTTGAAAGCTTGTTAAAATCCTTTTCTGGGCTTCATTCCCAGAGTTTCTGATTCAGAAATTGAGCTGGTGAACAAAAATCTGTATTTCCAATAGGTTTTCAGGTGATGCTGATGTTGCTGGCCTGGAAACTACCCTTGAACAGTTGTAAACTCATAAACTCATTATCCTTTTTTTTTTCCCCATTGGGGAAAATGTTTTAAAAATCATTAAGTAAAATTATTCCTCGTGACTTTAAATGGTGACAAAAGTGATTTTTTAAAAATTAGAACAAAGAAAAATATAGAGCATGCCAAAGCCCAGTAAAGAAAGAGTTTTTCTCTAACCAGTCCAGTGTGAAGATATTTTCAGATCTTAAGACAATTCTCTGTAAGAATTCTGAAGAACACTGTATTCTTCCTTCCAAATAACACACCAGCTGAAATAAGTGCCAAAGGACTATAGCTCTGAAACCCAAGGTGACATTTATTTTTCTCAAAATGCTGTCCATGCTGCTTCCCATTATGACTACAATATTCATACATAAACAATTACATTAAATGAGATATTGCTTATCTTTCAGTTAGGTTTATTTTAATAATATTTGAAAGTATGATCATTGACACGGTTTAACAATTCCCAGTTTTAGTTTTGTCTGGCCAAATATTTTGATAAAGTGAGAATTTAGTCTAAAAGTGGATTGGCAAGAAGCACGATTTGTGAGACCAGATTGGGAGTTTTATCCAGTCTGGATAGAAGCCCATCATGACTTTTGAAGCTGGCATTAGAATTCTCTTTGACTAACTCCTTCCTTCATCACCTATAATCTAGCCAACTGCTAAAAGGAAGATTTGAAGTCCCACCAGCAATGTACAAGTGTACCCTTTTCCTCACATCCTCGCCAGCACTTGTTGTTGTTTGACTTCATAGTGGCTGCCAATCTTACTGGAGTGAGATGGTATCTTAGGGTGGTTTTGATTTGCATTTCTCTGACTGCTAGAGATGGTGAGCATTTTTTCATGTGCTTGTTGATTGATTGTATGTCCTCCTCTGAGAAGTGTCTGTTCAGGTCCTTGGCCCATTTGTTGATTGGGTTATTCATTTTCTTATTGTTTAATTTTTTGAGTTCTTTGTATACTCTGGATATTAGGGCTCTATCTGAAGTGTGAGTAGTGAAGATTTGTTCCCAGGATGTAGGCTCCCTATTTACTTCTCTTATTGTTTCTTTTGCTGAGAAAAAACTTTTTAGTTTGAGTAAGTCCCATTTGTTGATTCTAGATATTAACTCTTGTGCTATGGGTGTCTTATTGAGGAATTTGGAGCCCGACCCCACAGTATGTAGATCATAGCCAACTTTTTCTTGTATCAGACGCCCTGTCTCTGATTTGATATCAAGCTCCTTGATCCATTTTGAGTTAACTTTTGTGCATGGCAAGAGAAAGGTGCAGCCAATTTGGAAAGCAGTATGGAGATTTCTTGGAAAGCTGGGAATGGAACCACCATTTGACCCAGCTATTCCCCTTCTCGGTCTATTCTCTAAAGACCTAAAAAGAGCATGCTACAGGGACACTGCTACATCGATGTTCATAGCAGCACAATTCACAATAGCAATTAAAATGAATTTAATAATTTAATAATATTAAATACTTAATAGTGTTTAAAGTATTTACATCTAGTATTAGAGTATAAAATTAAAGCTTAAAATTATATTATGTAGGTATATACCAACCATATTTAATTTCAATAATATTACTTTCTATGCAAAAACTTCAGAGTTTTCTCCTTCCTAGTTACCAAAGCTTGACCTTCTTAGCCTCAAATCAAAGTCTCCATAACCTAGGATCTGTAATTACTGGTTCCCATGCTGTCTCATCAAAATTTCAATGTTCTTGGATGGAGTCCCTATTTTCTGAGTGTACTTAATATTTCATTTGTTATTTTGAATGCCTGATTGCTTTTTCCTGTGTAGAATTTGTGCACATAATCTGCTGAACTTTATTTATCACATCTGACTTGTGAGACATAGGGATAAAAGTGATGAACTAGTAAACTATTCTCAAAATGAAATATGGTCAGTCATTTATGGAAAGAAAAATGGATCTGGGTAGAATCCTGCCTTGGTCATTTATTGGCTGCTTGCATTTATGTAAGATCCTCTGTCTTATTTTCCTTATTTAGAAAGTTAAGGAAAATGGTATTTGTGTTGCTGAGGATTCCGTGAGATAATTGCATAAAGAATACATCATTAGAGTACAAATGATCCACTGTAACATCAACTGCAGTGGTTTGGCTACCGTAGTCCACCTACCAGGTATTAGGTTTGAAGAAGCATCTATAGATAAGGAGTAACTGACTACCCTAGCACAGACTTCCTTTGCTAAGGCAGTGGCTCCATTTGTTCCATCCAACAAAAAGGGGGAGAGGAAGTAAGACCCAAAGTTGCATCTATCACCTCCTTTTCTATCTCACTGTATCCACACATAGCCATAGCTGCAAAGGAGTCTAGGCATTTGAGTCTATGGTGTGCTTGGCTGAAACTCAGGAGGTAAATTCCTTTACTAAAGGAGGAAGGGAAGAACAGGAAACACTAGTCATAACAAAATCAAACATTTTTGGAGTGAGTACTGGGAATTGAATCCAGAGGTACTTTCCCACTGAGCCACACTCCCAGCTCTTTTTATCTTTTATTTTGAGACAGGGTCTTGCTAAGGTGCTCAGGGCTTTGCTGAACTGCTGAGTCTGGCTTTGAACTTGGGAGTCTCCTGCCTCAGCCTCCTGAGCCACTGGGCTTATAGGCGTGTATCACTATGCCTAGCTACAAAAATCAAGATTCTAAGCCTGAAAGACTATAGTCCAGACAGAACTGGGATGAGTTCTCAAAAATAAACATCTGTGAGATCTTCTGATAGCTTCTGTCTGACCTCTCCAGCAAAACCTTCTATCTAAATGTGTGTTACACTGTTAAAAGCTCCTTAAGGACTGAGACTCTGTGTATATGTTTTATTTAATGTTTAATGTGTCTCCTATACTTTTCCTTTATTCTCTTCCCTAGGATGAAGAGAGGAAAAGCACAATACAACAGAACTCAATAAATAAATTTCAGTTGTTGAAGTATGATTCTCTAAAAGGCACAATTGAAGTTCATGTTATATATGTATTATGATTTGTAACATATATTTAATGGCACAAATCCCTTGCAGGTAGAAAAATCTTGTTTTAACATCTAGTTAATTTCTCTTTCTTTGCCATAAGGAAGTCCCTCCTGTTGCCACCATTGGGCAGCTATCCAAAGGGAAAAGGGCAGTCAGGACGGCCCCACTTCTTCACCATTGGCCCCACAATAGTCTAAAAGTAGTAGTTTCTATACATGAGGAAGTGGCCTCTGCCAGTGATGGTGTGTGGTCATTACTACACGTTCCTAAGTGACAATGTGCTGCTGTATAGCAACTTTGAGGGTCATAGGACACGTGGTAAATAAAGAAGCATTCTGTGTATTCTTAGCCTTTACATTTTATTTTAAAACAGAAAATTTCATGTCATTTATCACCTACTTTTAAACAGAATGGTGCATTAATTGAATGCCTTGTCATAACTCCTATAAGATCTGTTAGAAAAATAAACATCTCACAACAATCTACAGTGTCAGCTCTTTAATAAATACATAAAACAGAAGTTAGTAGTCAGAGTTACATGAACAGGTTCATAGCATATTACGTGAAATTAAAACCTCAATCTTTTGTATCATTTAAGGCAATTTAACTTTACGTATAATCCAAAGCCAGAAATAATATGAAACATGTTCAGTAAGAATTTGTTTCTTTCTTAGAGCTATTTAATACACAAAGATTTTAATTTAAAAATACATCTATATTAAATTTCTTTTTTACAAAGGCAGTACATGTTAAGTGAAACAAAATAAGGTTATGTTACTGATAATTTAAAAAACATTTCTAATTTTCTTGCAGAGGTTTAAAAAACCTTAATAAAGTAGCTGATAAATGTAAAATAGTTTAAATGTATGTTAAATATACACAAAATGAATTTCTATATTAATATGTGCAAATTTGTATTTTCTTATAATTTAGAATTAAAATATTTTATACTAAATATTTTTAATAAAATCTATGTACCATACTTGTCATTGTGTGGAATTCATCAGAATCACATTTTTCTGTGGCATAGTGTAAAGTTAGTCAAAGTTCTTTACACGTGTCACACATTTTCCATCCTTGATTGCAGTGGTTATTTTATTGTGTTAGACAATTTTAACTGAAGTTGATCATAAAGACTAGATATCTCATTAATAGAGTTAGCTTCCAAAGGTAAATTTTAAGCAGAAAAATATTTCAGGTAGATACAAGAGTAGTGTCATTACTCTCAGGTATTTCAAAAAAAGCTGCCCAGAGAGCTGAACAATTGTTTCACATAATCAAAATAATTTAAATATGCAGTTTTAAAACAGTCATTACATGGGCTTAAAGGTAAATGTATCAGAACCAAGGAAAACATCAAAAGAACAAAAAGTATAAAGAAAAGTTTAAAAAAAGTAGGAGGACCCAAGAGCAAAGTTGTTTTCCACAAGACTGGTTGTTTCATATTTTCTTCCATTGATAAAAGACACACAAGATGCTACAAAATCTAATTACGATGGTTTCATGGAATATTTTTCCAGTTAGTTTTGTTTACAAGTGAGATGATCATATACAAAGGATTTCTTTAGAAAGGAATAAAAAAAAAAAGTTAAGTAAAATAAACTTACCCATTCTAGTCAGTTAGTGAGGATTGCTGAATTAATCATTACTTAGCATAGAACATAAACGGGAGCCTGAAGGAGCTTTTGCAACTTAAAGATCTGCAGAAGCTGACTTGATAATCAGACAGTTAGGCTCCCTATTGAGTTGTGATTCAGTTGTATTGAAAATTGGCTTCAGATGTTATCAGACATTAATTCATAAACATTTAAAAGAAAAGGATTATCCCATACCTATGAATGTTTATTTAAAGGTGAATTAGTGTAATATTTATTCAAGCACACTTTTCAACACTGCACCTAAGATGCCAACAATTTCAGAAGACATGACAATTTTGGAGAGGTTAATTGAAAAACTGTCTTAGAATCAATGAAACACACATATAGATGTGTATGATCAGTTAGACATAATAAATTGCTATAGAGGAATTTTAAAAGAAGATGCAAATGATCCAAAAGAACATTCTGCATTCATTTGAAAAGGTTTGCTTTGGATGAAATGGAGTTCTTAAGGTCAACATAGATAAGAATAGCCATAAATTGGATATTAAGAGTAAACAAAAGAGAGTGCAATATGCACATGAATGGGTCTGTCTTTGTTCAGGAGCATATATTCAAATGAGTGTTAAAATCAAGAGGTGTTTGGAAATGAAGAATTTAATTATGCCCTTAAATTCCATTATTTTTCACAATTAGACTATTTGAGCCTGAAGATTTAAGGAAATCTTGGGAAAAGCAAATGAAAAAAAAAAAAAAGGATTTAGGATAACAGGAACAATTTATAATTTGATGGAGAGAAGCAATCTAATTTTATAGCTCATCCTGAAATATTTCAGTATCTCATGGATGCCTTTTGTTACACATCAAAATATCTTCTGGGGTGGTTAAGTGAATGCTAAAAAAAGAAAAAAATAAGGAATTTATTTTTCAGTGAAGTGTTGAATGTGATGCACCCATTAATGTTAGTATTTTGAGTTTTTTTTTTAAATGCCTCCAGAGATATCTAGTATTGTTCTTGGTGTGGTGGTGGTTGTTATTTTTATAAATCAAAGCTAAAATGAACATTTAGAACATAATCTGATTTCTAGTGAATTTTTATGTCTTCCAGAGAATGTCCATGGCTTAATAAATACTAGCAAATTTCAAAGAATATGTTGAACACTTATGAGCACATGTGCACTGCAGTGTAAAGATGCCCTAGAGAAATAAATTGCATCCAGTTGTGTCATAGTGTGCATGGGGCACATTTTCATAATCATTACATACTTGAGGGCACAAAATTGTTGCCGTACCAAGACATGTTGTTCAAGTTCTAAGTTTTGTTAATAATTTAAAATTGTGTTTAATATCAATGAATACAAAAGGCTCCTGTGGTCATAGTAGTTGAAAATAGGCTCTATTTACATAAATTATTTAATCTAAGAATACCCTGTTTCCCCTTATCTTTTAATTAATTCTAACTAGTCAAATATTAATTCACTTCTCAGAAACCATTACACAGAAAAACATCAATTATTCAAGTAAAGTATAAGCCCTAAAACCTTTAAGAATTAGCTCTTTAAGTAGGAAAAAAGAAAAACAGGAAAAAAAGCATATGACATTCAGAGACAGCTACAGTCATCACTTAGCTTTAAATTGCCTACAAGGAAGTTTGTCTCTTCCTATGTTAACAGCTTGGTCCATTTTAAAGTTAGTGCAAACTAGTGAGATAAAAAAAAAAAAAATCCTTGATTTTTAAGGACTTCATTTTCTTAAGCTCTTTTGCTCATTTCCATATGGAAATTAGTTTGTAGCTCATAAACACTGAACTATTAATTTTTAAATTGCCAGCCTTTTAATTAAAGGATGTCTCCCACTTTTTTTCATTTTGGGAGGTTGTCAGACATACATTTATTTATATATTTATGGAAAGATATTATATTTGATAGGCTTAAAATTACAAATTTTACATTATCTTTAGTTACCAAAGTTTTCTTACATGAGTCCCAGTATTGAATTATGTCAATGTTCCCAAGTTTCTCACTTGGAATGCATTCATTTTAGTATTATAATTGCTTGGCTGCAGAGAACAGCTCATGGAGCTGCTGTCCGCTGGCTCCAGAAAAACTAAACATGTTTTTCAGTTCTCTTTAGGGTTGAATATAGGATGGAGGTGAGTCTTCATCTAGAACTTTCACTGAAGTTCTGGAAGACAGAAAATCTGGGAATTACAAGAAGATGTTTTATATATATTGTTTGGTTGTCATAGGTAAAATTCTGGACTGCTCAGATGATAGTGGGACAGCTAGTCCATGATTCAGACTGAGTAAGTCTGTAGGGATATGGTAATTGTGAAGAAGTTTCCATTGGGGAAGGTAGAGATGTATTCAGGTCTTGAGTTGAGTAGGGTACAACCCCAGAGGGTGCTGTTCATACAGATTTATAATGTGAAGGATTTCCCCATATTTCCACCACATTGCTGTCTCTTCTCAGAAGCTGATTAGCAGGAAAGACTAGAACCCATTATGGACAACTCAATTGGAATTACTTTTCTCTACTTCTGAAAATTTCTCAGGAGCATATATTTAAGACTTCAGTAAATCACATTTAAAAATATTTGCCAGTTGAATATTTTAAATTTCGAGAGGTAGCATAACATCATGCAATGAACACTGGCCTGCAATTAGAAGTCAGAACTCCTTCTCTAATGCTGCCATTTTTATCTCCTGGGTGGTTTTTAAGTAACCACTTAAATTTTGTAAGCCTCAATTCCCTGACTAACTAAAATGGAGAATTATCTTATTTTTAAGATATTACCTTTCCTCTTCCAATTTTATATTCTTATGAATCCTAGTGAATAGGTTTGGGGCAATTTAGGGAAAGAATGTCCTTAGGCTGCACTGAAAGGCAAAATAATATAGCTTTTCATCTGAAAAATGTTGACATCAACTTGGACTCAAAATCTAAGAAAACTCATTCAAAAATGTAGTACATTGCTGAGGCAGAGTTTCTAAATACCTTGTGAATTCCAACCTACAGATCAGGCAAATGAAATAGTGAAACAATCCATCCAGTTTACCAGGTAAGAAGATACCACATCTTCAAACAATGAAGCTATTCAGGTTTACATGCTACTTTACAGTGTCCCTTATTAACATTCAGCTTTTAAAACCAGTATTCTAATAAAGTGACATTGTATTACAGGTTTTTTATGGCAGTAGTAACTTAGCACTTATTTAATCCAGTCATCTGCAATATATATAAACTTATCCTGGAAGGAGGAAAAACAAAATATAAATGCAAAGAAGAAAGAACATTGGCATTAGTATCCATTTTGTGAAAAGAAGGAAACAAACACACATGCATCAAACTACAACAGTCTCAAAATAGTATCCCTTATTATTAAGGTTCTATGCTGTTCACCTCCTGAATGAATGAAACACCAATTGCTGAAGCATTTGGCCACTTCGGTATGTAACTACCAGGTTATGTTTTTCATCCATATGTTCTGGCAGGAATGACTTGCACCCTTGTAGGGACACGAGGCTCGCCTGTCTCACAGCATCGTGTCTCTCTGGGACGTGTAGGAATGGCAGGTACCTGTAAAGTGTAATCAGTGCTCTTCAGAGGATCTACATTCTATGCTGATCTAAATAAGTTATATATTACAGTAAAGTGCTACAACGACACTAGTCTCAAACAGTAGTAAGACACATTTTTCTCTGAAAAGTTCAGCAGCTGTGTGAGTCACATGACAATGAGGATGCTTGTCAGTCTTCATTTGAGTATACAACCAGGAACTGGCATGATCTTGAACAATTTTTCTCCTCCTGTGACTTTTAAAATTTTACTTTTTTAGGAGCAATTATTTTAAAAATCCAGTTTTCCATAAAGTTTTCTTGTATCTTTGTTTAGAAATTACACCTGAAATTCTCATGAGCATTTAGTTTGCTGATATCCAATTTTATTTCTTCAGGTTTCTCACGGCGGTAGGTTACTGTTCTTGTGCAAACACTTTGCAGAAGCAACTTATCCTTGATGGAGAAGAAATATTGTTATCAATTAAAGACCTAAGTATTGCAACTAGACAATAAAATACTGATAATTACATTTTAAAAATTCACTGACCTTTTTTGAGGCAGACACTCTGTAATCTGATGAGGACTTAATTTTATTACTGTTCCATTGTAGTATCGCCTGCCTAATGATAAGGACTTTAAGCAGCCCAATCAAGAATGTAACTATGAATATGATGAAAAATATCCTTAAGTAGCTTGGGCTAGATAAACATTCTGTAATAAAGTAAACAAGTTAACATTAAACAAAGCCAGTCAATCAAAGAATTCTAGCAAGTAAACAGTGTTCACATCTTATAATTAATAGAACCAGAGACTTGTACAAATTTGCATTTTCAAAACAAGGGACTGACATTACTGTTGACTCAGAAAAGTAAAGTAATTTTTATTGCACATTTATTATTAAAATATTTTCAAAAGAAAACTTCCCTTTGGGAACAGACACAATGAAAATATTTAATAACATCATTTCTTTCCAGCCTGATTCTATAATTGTCTTAGCTGGAATATGTCCAAGTCCCTTACCCAGATATAATTATATCCATGACAGAGAGAGGGGCAGCTTTTGTGATGTGTACTTTTGAACACCAAGTGGAAAATCAGATTTCAAGAACTGCTCAACAGCTCTGGGCATCAGCATGTGTTCCTCTTGTTATGCTTTCTCTTCATTTGTTGCATACCAGTAATGGAAAATAAAGTAAACATTTGCAGAAGCTGAAATCAGTACTACTCTAATAGATGAATAAATATTGCCTCTGAAATTGCAGTGTAAGATTTCATTATTATTATGCATGGCTTCAGCAGGAAATAGGAGTGTCCAATTTGGGATAATACACAAATCTTTTGCTTTAATTTTAGTTCATTTACTTTTTACTTCTCTGTTAACTAAATCCGTTTGCCTTTAAAAATTCATTATGTGCTTTTCCAAAGACAAATCATTAATTATTCTCTGGGGAAAGAAATGCCCTGTTAAGATGAGGGCCATGCTGGATCTCTCTTTTAGCACCAGGCCTTTGGCAAACTCTCATTGGAAAACCTGCAGCCTCTGTTGTTGCCAGAGGCATCCCCCTTATCGTAGAGGAACATGGTTGCATAACAGCAAGTATTCCACAGAACTCAACAGCTGCCCCAGATTCATAAAATTACTTCCGGGCTGGAAAAGACATTGTGTTCCTCTGCCCATTTTACAGACTTTGGGGACCTTATGTTAATTTTAGAGTCTCCCTGGAGAAGGCCACTAAGAAGAAGACCTGCCAATGTATTATGCAATCGTGGGTGATTTGGACTCAATTTTTAGCAGTGACCAAGTATGCTCACAAATAAGGCCAGAACTCTATAACAAGGGCCTCTCTGAATGAGAAAACTTAATGAAGCCCCCAATTCTTTTGGTCAGTAATAAGGGGCCTTGAACAAAAGGTCAGAGGCAGACCCCAGGGCTACTCATCAAGTGGAAACACCAGATTCCAAAGCAAGTCTTCCATTGTCACAGACCTCAGGGAGACAGAATCCAAAATGCTGTGTTGGAAGGTGGCACCTTTGAGTCTTCCACAGGAGAATGTTCCCCAAATCTTTCTCCCCCAACAGATTGCCATTTCCCTTAGATGATCTGGCTACTCAAACCAGCTAAGGCAGGTCCTCAGAGGGAACACGTGGCTTGATTCCACTTACTGGCTTCTTGCCTGGTGGGCACTTAGCCAGAGAGACTGAAAGAAGACCCTTGAAGTGTGATTGAGAGGATAGATAACAGAGGTGCCTAACCAATGCCCTTTCCCTGTCCTTGCACAATAGAGGTTAAGGGGAGGGGAAACCCTCTAGCTCCTCATCAAGTTCAGAAGTATTGCTAATAAGTTAGCAGTTGTAGGGCAATTGTAGGGCTCAACTCTGCCTGTATTTTGAAAGGTTGCTACGGATGGTCAAACATCTACCCCCAGCCTATGCTTTTCTTAGTTGAGATTGGGTCAGAGCTTTTCCTAGGAGCTTTAAGGGGATACTATTTGTAACCACCCTTCAGTCACAGTAGTGTTTACTTAACATAATAAATGACATGTTGATAGGAAGGGCCCTATTTATTAGAAAGGCACTTAGCTTTTGGGAGTGATTGCTGTAGCCCCAGCTGGCAGCACATGGGACTCTGTTTGGAGCCAAATTCATCATGAGCTAAGATCAGTGCAGATGTGAAACCAAAAGGAAACAAAGCCCTGGAGAATGTTTATTCTTCTCGGCAGTCTCTAAGGGCTGGGATTTTTTCTTACAGGTTGGAGGAGAAACTTGAAATAATAGAAGCAATGGAAATGTTTCCTATAAAGATCTAATTTTTAGCTCTTATGGAGTTAGGAATTCATTTCTAACTCCTTTGAACACCTGTGCAAAAATGGGGTTCCAGCTTTTTGAGTTCTAATGAACTTTTTATTTAAAAACAGACTTTGCTCATAACTCTCACATGGTTTTCCATTTATGAATCATCTTTTGTTTTAGATACTTGTTTCACGTTCACTGGCTCCTTAAGGTCACAACAACCCTTTGAGGTGGATACTATTTATATATCTATTTAACAGATGAGGAAACTGAGGCTCAGGAAACTTTTCAGGAGGACTGCGATTTCTTTACAAGTAATGCTTAGGGCTCAAGCCAAGGTCTTCAGACTAAAAGTTCCATATTGTTTTCATTGTGCTACATTTATCATCATTCCCCCACTAAATTGCATGCTATCAGAATGAGAAGTACAAGGAATGACCCTTTGGATGTTACACAGATTACAAAAGCAGTTCATTGCTCCTTGAAATTTTATAGCTTCACCTGAAACACGAGAGTAAGTGTGAGTTAAAGGAAATAGGAGTGTCCAATTTGGGATAATACACAAATCTCTTGCTTTAGTTTTACTTCATTTACTTTTTACTTCTCTGTTAACCAAATCTGTTTGCCTTTAAAAATTCATTATGTGCTTTTCCAAAGACAAATAATTAATTATTCTCTGGGGAAAGAAATGCCCTGTTAAGATGAGGGCCATGCTGGATCTCTCTTTTAGCAGTTCTGAACTGGAAGCAACTTTGGGTTATGAAGGAAAATTATGGCTCCACAATCTTTATTTCTCAGTGAAGGGATCCTCTGTTGGGAACCTGTATTTTTTGGCTCATGGAGATCTTTCTAGTCAATTTATTTGGATGCCCTTCCATGGAGGTACATGGCACGGAAATAGAGCAGTGAAGCAGAGGTGTAAAACATTAACTACTCAAGAACATCATCTCTGGGAGATTTCAAAAAGCAAATCACAAACTCATTACATTTTGTCCACAAATGTGTGCAGACTTATTTATTGTATTTCCATGTTGCCTCAATAAAATTGTATTAAAAAATAAAGAAGTGTTTCATATTGAAACCAAAATTGAAGTTCTTAGTCTTTTCCTTAGTATGGTTAATTATGAGAACTTTGGGGGAATGTGGTCCTCCACAGATACACTATAGTGCTTTGATTACGAGTCTTTCATTTACCTGATGTTTGATGCCCATAATGCTGGTCCATGAGAGCACATGAGGTTTTGCACTGATCAAGTATAGCTTGAGATAGATTGTGAGGGTGAAGGCATTGCATACAATTCCTGCGAGAGGAACTTAAAACATTAGTTCTTTTAAAAAGAGATAGTCTATAATATTTTCTAGGAAAAATAAAATAACAACTTAACAACAAATAGATACTGCAAATTTAGATTATTTCCATTTGAAATAACTGTATCATTATATTGAAGTATTGCATTTCCAAATAATTTAAATAAGTGACTTTGCATGATAGAATTACAGATTTGAGAGAGAAATCATTTTAAAAATCTGAATTATGCAAACTGGAAGGTACACTGATGTTTAGATTGGTGGTCTGTGAGCAGGTCTCAGACTGTCATTGGAAAATTAATTACTAACACAAAACAATTATGTCGCTTTCATTTAGCATGTCACCTTTTGTTTATTTATCACTTATTTCTAGAGTAAGTCATAGCCACCATCATTCTTTATCATGAAAATATTAAAAGTAAAGCACAATGATAACTTAGTCAATATTTATTCTACAACCATCAGGCACCAAATACAAAGGTGTGCTTTTATTCTGCTTTTCACATTTAATTTAATTTGATAATTCTTCCACAGAATTTTAACATTATTATTTTTATTCATCATCATCCTTACTTTCAAACTCAGGAAACTGAGACATAGAGGATTTTTAACAACTTGTCTTACACAATTAATTAGTCATCAGCTTTGTAGCAGACAGCCTCTATTTTCCAAAACTTATAAAAAAAAAAAAAAACTAAGGTAGTGAGTGTCTGGATTTATTGTGATGCTCTACAGCTAGTTATTGGGCTGAGATTGGAATTCTAGTCCCCTAATTTCTAAAATGTCTGCATTCACTTCTTTTTTAGCATGAAGGTAACAATTTGTCTGGCAACTCTGAGATTAAGAAAGGCAGAACCAACAAAAACAGCAGCTGCAGGGCTGCTTTACGACTGCGGAAGTCAGAGAGCTCATACCAGTTTTCACTGCAGGCTGTGTGACAAGTGGGACAATGCTCACAGAAGCGGCCAATGCTCCGGGGATCTGTGCACTCACACCTGCCGCACACACACGTGCCTCTGCCGCTGCACACCTGGCCTTTTGAATTGACACAGTGCTGAGATGATGCTGAGGGGCACTGGCACCGATCCCCTTCCCAGCCGCTGAAGCACTGGCATCTGCCTGCTTCACACTCTCCATGCCCTGCAACCAAGACACACCAGGACCCACATTAGAGACACCACTGACTTGTGAAGAGTTTCCACGTGTGGATTCACTTCCCACCTCCACAGAAATGAAAGGCAGTCAAGTGAATGGAAACAGCATCATCTTCTATTCGGCTGACCTAAAGAGTGCCAGAATTTAGGAAAGATGTCCTATTGTAGATAATCTCTCATACTGATATTCTGTGCTAACAAATGTGAAGGAAGTCCCTCCTGTGGTGGCTGCCCAACTCTCTTAAGTGTCATACGTTCAGTTTTAAATTAAGACACAGAAATGTAAAGAAGTTACAAAAGCTAAAGTAATGTTATGTGACATGAAATCAGAAGATAAGAGTATTTGATTAATGACTTCCATAACCTATTCTCATAGTTGCACTATTGCTAAGGGCTGGGAATGACTTGGAAGGACTAGGAGGCAAACCCTCTTAGTGCTTCAGTGTGGTGAAGGCTATGTTTAAAGATAAGATTTTCTGAGGAGTTGAAATAATTCTCTCATATCCTCAGAATAGTATTTAGTAGATTATCAGTGCTGTTCTCATCTCTGCTTCGAGCTATGATTAGGTGGCAAATGGCAAGAAGAAAGGAAGATGGTGTGTGTTGGGGGTGGGGAGTGTGCACATGCACAAGAGGTCTTTATGCACACAAGCTGAGGAAACATTGGTTACACATAATTAAATGAATTTTTGATTGCTGAAAGTGTCCAAAATTTAATCTGCCAATGCAAATTAGAAATCTTCAAGAAGGGGTACATTTTACAGGATTGTGCAGTATTTCTAAAGCTTTTTTAGCTACAAGTCAATTAATCTTCCCTTCTTCCTTCCTTCCCTCCCTTCTGTTCCTTGCCTTCTTTTCCTCATTTTCTTTCTCTCTTTTATTGCTGAGCACCTTACAAGTTAACTGTCCCACAGGGTCCACTGCTGGATCAGCTCAGCTTGTTAAGTGTAAAACTAATGAGGTCCAGGCCAAACAGATGTCCTCCAGACCTTGCTCCCCCGTACAGCCTGCAAGTCGAGTCCTGGCCAGCCGACCTGGGAACATGTGCTTTAATTCCTCGGGGAGACTAGATGATGCATGTCAGCCCTACAGTTTTCTTTTACATACAACCATTCAAAACAGATTCTCAAGTGCTTGAGGGTCAGTAGTATCATAGTCACAAGGAAGGGTCAGTACATGATTTTTGGATATTTGCAGCAGAGAATGGGATTCTCAATGTATTTGAAATGTCTTTGAGAAACTGACAGCTGTGGAGAAAGTCTCTCTGTTCCCTGTAAAATAGCATTTCCTTTCCCTATAAAATATAGTAAACAATGGCTGATTTATTCTAAAGTTATCTATAATCCATCTTCTCTATGATTCCAGCTACAGTTGAATAAATGTTTGAAATACAAAACATTCCGTGTATATAATAGAATAAAAAGATAATTTGCCATCACACATTTAGGTAACATATTTTGAATTTTTAGCTTTTGTAACAATATAAAATTTATTTTTATAGGCTGTTACTTTCCATATCCTTACAGTAATGAAATATTTTCATTCATCAACAACTTAACAAATATTTATCTACTACAATGCAAATGCTAAAAAGGCATTTTCACAGTAAGTGAAATTATTCTATGAGCTCAGATGGCAGAGAGTTTAAAATATTATTTAACAATAATATTTTAATATTCAAGTGTTGCACAGTTATTGGACTCTAACCTGTAGGTGGCAGTAAGCTAAATTAGACACAAAGTAACCTTGATATTTTTATTTTAATTCATTTCATTTTAAAAATGTGGTCTGTGTGTGGCCACAAAGACTAATCTTCTAGATTGCTTAATAATCCAGTATTTTCTTGAAGAATGCTGTCCTCTGGCAATTCTGTTACTGGTGGTGGTCCAAAAATAAACTGCTGAGGTTTAAATTACCACAAACTTACAATACCATCTATAATGATGCTTTAAGAATTTTCCAATGAATGAAAAGTATATTTTTATAGTCACTCCCCCCTCATCCTGACAGAAATAAAATCCTCTGAGCAATCTGGAGTGAGTAACCTTTTGCCAGAATGAATCAGACCCTTGTGGAAGAATACCCTCATTCTTTTGGAAAACGTGTCAGCCATCATCAGTAATTTCCCCTTCTGGGATGTTCTTTCCAAGATCAAAGAATATTTGAGAATTACAATTAATTTTAGGTTTTTATTTAGAAGTATATCCTGTATACTTTAAGCATAAATATTAAAACCCCTGCTGTGACTGTTGCGGTGACCTAATTTTGCAGACTATGAAACTGTGAGTATTAAATTCAGATTCAGTGATGGCAATTTGTAACATATTTTTAAAGATGCATGAGACTATATGCTACCAGGATAGTGGTTAGTAAAAATTACCTGTATGAATTTATACTCACCAGCACACAGATTTCCATGGTGATATGGACAAGAAAAATCATCCTTTTCACAGTATTTTCCATACACTTTTCCAAGCTTAATTTTATGACATACACATTTCCCACAAATACAGACTCCTCGACCACTGCAAACAGGTTGATCCTTGTGTAACCTGCAACTCTCAGATGGAAATGCATCTTCATCAAAATGGCATTTACTCTCGTCACATTGCAAACACTTGGAGTCCAGGAAAGTTTCATCCTCACACTTTCCTTTAGGTCCTCTGTGGTCCTCACACTGACAGCTGCATCGCCTGTGTATGTGAATTTTAGTGGTTTCATTGAAACCAATAGGTTTGATTTTTGCATAGTTTTTTCCTCCTGTGACATCACATTTTTTCATTGTAACTGTTACATTGAAAAGAACCTAAATTTAGGAAGAAAAAGGAAATATAATTACATCCTTTGATATTTTTATTGCTAATATTTTATGTGTCAGTATATTTCAATCAATAATACAATAGCATCTTAGAGTAATTGTTTATAAAATACCCAGGCAAGTTTTTTCACATGAAGATGCAAAATCAAGGGATTTTGTCTTTTATTTTCTGATTAATAAATAAAATAAAAACAGTGTCTTTTATTTTCTGATTAATAAACTAAAGAATTAGAGGAACCAATGATTGCTAATTGTCTATAATACACCAGTAAACAGACTTGACCTGCTTATATGAAGTGCCTACTCCACCTTCCTATTTTCAAGTTGGACTAAAATCATTACAATTTTAAAAATAATCTGTGTTTTTGGTTGGAAATTATGTTATATATCATGATATAAAAAGAACTAAATTTAGGCTTCAACATGTATTAGGAGTTTGACTCAGTCTTATTATAAAGTTGGTGTTGGTGCTGTACTCAAAATGTTTTTATCTTAAGAATGTTAAGGATTAACAGATGTGTAGGATAATGTGGACATTGCCATTATTAATCGTAGAGCAAAACTTGGGGTTTATGTAATTAAGAGGTCAAATGACTATTCCTTAGAGTCACGTTGTTTATACAACTTGGTTGAAAGTCAAGGGGGAAAAGAAATGTAGGGGAAAAAAAGAAAGAAAAAAAAAAAACCCTAAGATGTAAGAAAACCACTGCTCCAAAATTGAGATTTTTGAAAGAAGTGCTTCATTCTTCAGTAAGTAACTTAGTGTTATCTTATGATAGAAAAAAATTTCTTTATATTTAATGAAAATCAAATGTGTATTTTGTAAACTGCTGTATGATGGCTTTTGAACAAAATCCAAGGACTGATTATAGAGGAAACTACAGAATTAGAAACTTGCAGTAATTAATTTAAAATGTACAGCTTGTAGGCACAATTATACTACCCACAGATTCTAAAATTCTCAAGAGGGAAAATATATTCTAACTACAGAAAACTCTCCTTTTATTGAGAATGTTCTACCTCTTTCCATCACTTTTTCTCTCTAGGACCTGACATGTAAGCGATTAATAAAATTATAGAGGAGGATAGGGATGTGGCTCACGGGTAAAGCACTTGCCTGGCCTAAGTGAGGCCCTGAGTTCAATCCCCAGCACCACAAAAAATTACTACTACTACTACCAATAATAATAATAAATAAAACAAATACAATTATAGAACCTTGGAGTTAGCGGGGAGATGAGAAGTCTTCTAGTCTAAGCCATCTGTTAAAAAATGAGATAAGTCATGTCCCAAGAGGAAGACGACTCACTGGAGATATCTTTACCCCACAAGGATCCCTGTGTGTGCCTCTCTGCTGTGCCTCTCTACTGTGCCAATTCTGGAGAATCCCTGCTCCTCTGGTCCTGTTTCCTGATGCTACTGTGATTTATACCTCTTTTCTTTACATCTCATTTCAACTCCTCCTTTTTTATTGTTCTCAGTCAATTTCTCTACCTGATTATGAATGGACTGAGGCAAACACAAAGTGAAAGATTTTGAAATTCTTAGACTTTATCAATTGTGTCATTCTTCCCTATAGCTTATTACTTTCAATATCACATTTACCCTTGAGAATAAGCAGATTTGAATCCAAAAGGAGATGTGATTTCCTCTTCTATACCAATTGGGTCACCTACATTGGAAGTTACTGTTATTAAACAAGTGTTCAACATAATACATATTTATTTATTTTAACTTGAGGGTTCAAGAGAATAGTTAATTGAGTTAAAACAAGAAGGTAACTTTGAGAAGAGACAATGGAAGTTACTTTGAAGTATAAATAAAATTCCTGGAGTCAGCAGTTAAGTAAAATTATTCAGAATGGTTTGGTTTTTCTGTGAGGAAATCGTGCCAAACAAATTTAGCTTATTTTAAATAAGAAAAATGCACACCCACATACTTCATCATTGCTTGTCACATTTCCACATCCAATGGTGCCTGGCTTTCTGGCCCCATCTGGACAAATGGCTGTGATGTTGAAATAGACACCTTGTACCTGGTTTTCCACCTGCACTTTCACTTCTGAAATGAGTTTCTGTGGAGACATCATCTTTTAATTAAATGCTGTAATGGTTTCAAATATAAGCAATGAAGCAGAGTCAAGCTTATCCAATTACTCTAGGTTTAATTTTTTACTAAGTCAAAGAGTCTGTCTCTGTAAAAGGATGAATAAATACAGTGTTTCCACATAATGACCATTACGTTTAAAATATGTAAGAAATACTGAAAGATTAGATTTTTCTGCATTTAAATGGTTCTGTTTTCCCCATTGTGCATTTTAATTACTTCAAAACTATTTCTCACTCAACCTGTTATGAAAATTATCTTTCAAAATCCAGTGCTACTTACATATTATGATACAGTTTAAGGAAAACATTGAGACCATATATCACAAAGGGTGAATTTCCATAGCTAAAAACATGAAACATGCTTTTGACAGATAACAGCTATTAAAAAAACATTTTAATTTCAAACACTTAATACTATCATGAAAGCTAAAATGCCTTATTGATACAGAGTTGAAAGGTACAGTTTTGGAAGGAATGACCTGACAGACATGTTCCTTTAAGAATGGCTTATAAATTGTGTTAAGACCAGACCCGACCCGAGGGCTTGCTTTTGTTAGTCAAATTTGTACCAAGCCTTCATTCCAAACTAGGGCTTCTAAACTAGACAGAAAAAAATTCATTGATTTACTCACTCATTTATATGCTCATTCAGTATATGATTTAGTGGCTGTCATGTATTAGATATATAGTAATTTCTTCTATCTCAATCTCTTAAGTTCCAAAGGATCTAGCTACTTTAATTATGTCTTTCAGATCTGTGTGCATTTTATCCCATAAAATGAAGAGTCAACTAAATGCAAAAACTCATAGCTTATACTTGTAAACAGAGGAAGAAAAGTGGCAGTGTAGGAAGAAAAAAATACTTTCAGAGGATTCTAATCCTTTACGTGAATAATTTTTTTTCCAACGGTATAATCAATAAAGGTACATGGGCTTACTGATTAATAATTGAGCATGGAATTCTGGTAGCATATCTTTAGAACAAAATATTTTCCTCAAATTCATGAGTATTATTTGGATTAAAAAAGACCATCTCAGCACCATTTTGAGGCAGGGTCTTACTATGTTGCACAGACTGGCCTCCCACTTGCAATCCTCCTGAGCAGCTAGAATTACAGGCCTGTACCACTATGTTAGAGAAGTCACACACTGCAACTGTTAATTGAATAATTTTGGCAAACCAAAAGGAACTTTCAAAGATATGCAAAGATGGATATGCAATAATATGTCAGATCAGAAGGAACTACTTAATTCAAGGAGTGTGCTCAGTTTACCCTTCAGAAATTCTGTTTTAAGACTTTAAGCCAGTTAGGCCCATGTTTTTCAAGCAATGTGTAAAGATAGATCTCTAAAATATTTCCCAGTTTTAGGATGTAGGAATTAATCTCCTGACACAATCTGAAGCTTCTCCTTTAATATCTAATCAGTAATGAGACAGATTATTTTTTCTGTTTTAAGATTCTTCAATGAATTGGGAATTGTTTCTGTTGTACGGTGAAGACAAGATAAAATTTCAGAAGAATTTTGAAAATATAGACACATAAAAAATGACAGAATCTCAACCTAAGGTAGTTAGCCAGAGTTGAGTTTGTTTTGCTTTTTAATTGATGTCACTGTAAGATCAGTCAGAACCACAGTGGGATCAGACATCCCATATCTGTTCTAGACAAATAAAGAAATTAAAGCAGATACTTTGGTCTCCTTTCCTTGACACATAGGTGAAAAGTTGTCAGTTTATGCTCCTTGCTTGGGGTAACAAATGGTCTCATACTATAGCAATTCAGTCCTAACAGTGTAAATTCCTTTCTTATTTGGATTCTTCTCAGAAACACACTCTTGATGGGAAAAAAATTATATGCACATTTGATTTTTCTTGATAAAAATCCCTAGTCATAACACTCTTTTGTAAGTGAGAGATGTCATTTAAGATGTTCTTCCTTATTTCATTCTACACAGTTTCAGACACAAAATAAAAGTTCTCGGCAAAAATAATCTAGCAAGGTTTATTTTCCTTTTCTTTAAAAGTTATTCTTTATAACTTTCAATAATTCTTCATTGTATATCCAGTGTCTACTTTCTGCCTTTCCCTTTTGTACTCATGTTGAAGGCAGGTGCTCCTTGAAGATGATTAGAGAAATCTGAGATTTTTCTCCACGTTTTGGCTGTTCTTTACACTATTCAACTCTTACATGTTTGGGAAGGGAATCAGAGAATTTGGCAAAATGAGACTTTATAACTGGCCCATAAATTCAAGGTCTAATCCAGCAAGCTTGATACTACATAAAAATGACAAAAGAAAAATAGGTGATATCACAAAGCAGGAAACACCTGGGGCATGACGGTGAACACCTGGATTCTGATCCTAATTCTTCTGATTAGCTGTGTGACCTTTGGTTAATTTGCTTCACTTCTCTGTTTCTACAAATATACAATGAGAGTAGTAACACCTGCCTAGGTGAGGATTAAACGAAGTCATGTGTGAAAAGTGTCTGGTTCTTAGTGGTATTACAACATTACAGCACATATGACATGAAGCCATGACCCAGTTTGAGAGAACAGATGTTTCTTTAAATTCTTTGCATTCAGTTGCCCACTCTTCACAGGATTGATGAGAGCATACGACCATAAATAACAGACCATATTTGTCAAGGTGATTCTTTTACTCAAACTATTTTGATGAATGTGCTCAAATAATTGACTGAACAATCAAATAATTGATCATAGAGAACAAAATCATCTTAGTAATCTCTATGTCCCAGATAATTCATTTCCCCTGGCAGGTTGTTTCTTTAAATAACAGTGTGGATTTCATAATTCATGAAAAAGGGAAATTATGCAATTTCTTGGTAACAAAATGCTTTCTGTAGCCATGAGTAGGTAACTCATTGAGCATTGGATTTGGAAGGAAACTGAGAAAGTCTCAGGCCCAGTGTTGGATGGCTATCAACGAGACCACATAGTCTCCCAAGGGACCATGGTAGTTTGTGCTAACACCAGGCCTAAATGCCAGATTCCCTGTTCCTAATTTTATGTTCTTTCTACCACTCCTCTCAAGATGATATAGCACTAGTTGGTATGTTGTCACAAAAATGTTTATTTGGAAAGTTAAAGTTTATTTGGCAAAAATCGTATATGATATATACATACCTTGTAGGCTTCTACTACCAAATTGTTGAGGTTAGCAGCCTTTGATTCTATCTCACCAGCAATGGTGCCAGGCAAAAGGGGTAGAAGGTCCTAGAAAACACATCAGTTGAATTTACATAATGGCAAACTCTGCAGTAGTTCAGTGATCAACAAATATTTAATATTTTTCCATTACCAATGGAAGATGAGACATTATATGCAGGAAAAATATAAAACATGAAAAATATAAGCAACCTGGTAGGATTGCAAGCCCTTATACCCATGAAAAGGTAGTGTGTATGTGTGTGTGTGTGTGTGTGTGTGTGTGTGTGTGTACAAATGCAAATAAATATGCATGAGCATGGGTGTGTGCATCCTGAATTACATGATGACCTAAAAATATCATGAGAATTATATCAGAATTTCCAAAGCATCTTCCATGGAACACAGCCCTAAGAGACTTAGAACATGAAAAATGTTCTAAGGGCAAATAAGTTTTGGAAGTTCTGCATATCTTTATTCTATCCAGAGATCCAAATTTGCACATTTTCAAACTAAAACGTTGAGCAGTCCTGTAATTTGTAAATGATTTGACTCAGTTTAATGCAGCATTCCCCAATGCTTCTTTAAAGGCCAAACTCTTTTCTTACATAATATATATATTTTATAGAACTACTGATCCATGAAATGACCTTTGGGGCATGTTGTATCAGACAGTAGGAAAAATCAGAGTTACAGGTGGAGCTTCAAAGAAGAGGAGTTTGTGATGGGTAATGCTTACTAATTTTGGAGGAGATGCTATTACCAGGGAGAATGTGAGAATGAGCAAAGGCTTAAAGGGCTACAAGAGGAAAAAAAGCAGTTGGACTAGAATAAAGGTGCATATTTATAAGAATTCAGATTATGAAAGTCTTGAAATCCACTTATTCACTCATTTTTTTTCAGTTCACAAGCATCATTAACTTTCTTCCATATACTATCCATATTTAAACACCAACAATTTATTATCTCAAGTCATAGGGAAAAATGTATCACAGATTTTTAAAATTCATTTATCAAAGTGTGAAATATGATATATCAAGAACTATGTAATGTTTTGAACAACCAACAATAAAAAAAAAGAAAAAAGAAAAAAATCCATTTATTAACAGATGCCTTTATTGAGCATCTATTACATACTACTTTGGAAATGCTAACTTACTAGACCACATAGTTTCTGTCCTTAAGGATCTCACAGGTCTATAAATGATAATTCCACAAAATATAAGCCACATGAAGCATTTGTGCACAGAAGCTATTAAGCAGGATGCCTGGCAAGGACTGCAGAGCTGGGGAAAGTTATCAGGGGCCGATTCTTTAAGGAGCTGACTTATAAGCTCTTCGTAGAGGATGCTGAGTGGGAGTGAACCCAGTCATGAGAGAGAATGACTTCCACATATGGGGGTACAGTGGGGGCAGCAAGAACAAAAGCACAAAGAAAGAAGCAGGTTGGTGAGTGTGTGTGTGTGTGTGTGTGTGTGTGTGTGTGTGTGTGTGTGCGCGCAGGGGAAGATCAGGCACATTGCCGGAGGGACAAGGGCAAGTTAGGGAAAAGAGGCCCCAGAGAGAGGTAGATAGAACCAGGTGCCAAATTAGAAACTCAGTCCTCTAAATCATAGGGAGCCCCTAGGATATTTTGCTCCAGAAAGTACTGTGGACATACTTGTGATTTCAACGCATCATCTTGCACCATGTGGAGAATGGATTTGGAGGATGAGTTTCAATGCTGTTAGGGTGATAGAAAAATGAAAAAAATGAAAGATGGGTGATAGAAAAAGATCCATGAGCAGCTAAAGTAGGTGCCTACAATGACGCGCGTGGGACTCAGCAGGGCTCATATTCGGCTTTTGGAGCCTGATGATGTTTACTTTGCTCACAATTCAGTTAATAATAAACCCGGTTTATGGTTTATCAGTCAGTGGCAAATTTGTAAAGGACAAGGGAAAATGTGGGAGAACCAGTAACACTCTGAACAATAGAGAAAGAGGAAGCAAAAGCTATCCAAAGCTACATGGTATTCCAAAGTCAACTATTCAGCTTACAGGTTAAGATCACAAGATTTGAGTTGTTAGAGAACTCTGGGCAAGTATTTATCCTCTCAAAATGTTTCCCCATCTTAAAATGAGCAGACTGATAAAACTGCCCTCACTCAGTGAGATGGTAAGATCTCAGATGCATTAGTGTTTCTGAACTCAGTACCTGGCAATAGTTAAGTACTCAGTCAGTAGACACTGTTCCTCTTGTTATTAAAATGGTTAAAGCCATTTTATTTGGGTCAGAGCCCTACTTCTGTGGATGTTAATTTGTTATCACCTTAAAATGTGGCTTCATGGTATATGGAAATCAGGGAGGGACTAAAGTTTCACTACATATTTCTAAAGGAATAAGTGATATGATTAAAGTGGCACTTTCAGATGACAAATGTGGCTGTTAGGTGTTAGGTAAATCAGAGAATGTAACACCAGTTTATGGACGATGAAAATGATTTTACGTATCCGTTGAAACCAAAAGATAATGTAGTTTCTCTAAAGTTTTAAAAACTAAGTAAGGGTGCTTGCAGCTAGCCAGTGAGAGAAGTTTGCAGTTGGAAAGTAGAAGGAAGAAATAAAGATAGTAAAGAGATGAAGATCTGATGGATAGCGATGCATGTTGGAAACAAGGACACCACAGCATTATAGAAATGAAGAAAAGAGATTCTAGAAGACAGACCCTAAAAAAACCAAAAGACAATTATAGTAAGGCACAGAAGAGGAATTCTATGTTGAGCAACTGCCCCGAAGGATTCAGGACACCACTGAAACCACACCGGCATAGGGAATTTGGCTGGCTCAGTCACTTCTCATGCTCTTCCTGGTCCTTTAGTAGAAAATATACACCAAAGCTAGATGTGCTGGTGCTATGGACAATCAAGCAGATAATTCTTTAACTTTAGTCTATGGTAAGAATCTGTCCGTGGCTAGATTATAAGCAGGAATCTGGACATGAAAGGTATAGATATGAAGTGTGAAGTACTTTCACCTGATAAGAATCTTTCTTGTTATTGTCACATCCATCATGTCCTTCAGTGTTAGGCTATGCCTATGTATATTAGATATAATTCTCAAACAGCATTTAGTGCATGACTTGTTTCTATGTGTTACAAACCTAGGTCAAATTTGTACTTAAATGCTAATTTAAGATACAATAGAATGTACTTTAGTTAATACATTATTAAATTCAGATTATATAATTTCAAATTCTTATCTCTGGTTCCAAGAAGTGCCCTAATTTCGACTACTAATGTAAACATTCTAATTCGTATGTTTAGGAATTGACATACCTTATACCAATGAAATTGTTTTCCTTGAACTGCGAAAATGACATTAATGTTGTTGTCTATTAGTTTTTCCGAAAGTTGGCCTAGCGAGGGATGTTCCTGCAATGGATAATGAAATAAAGAAAGGAATGAAAATTTGTAGCTCAGCCCCACACACATCCAAATAGCTTCTATGAAGAAAGCCTTGTGACTTATGCAACAACATACACTAGGCAAAGGTTATGGTTTTACTAGAGATATTTAAATTCTTTTCATATATAACATCAATTTGTGTTCTATATGTGTTATATGAATTGTGATGCATTCTGTTGTCATATACAACAAATTAAAATTAAAAAAAGAATAAGCTAACATGCTAAAAAATATTAATGCGTTAGGGACAATTTATAGGAAAAAGCTCCCTAAAAACCTCATTCAGCGTAGTACAAAAAATGACCAGGACCTCTTCTGATTAACACTGGACTCAAAGTGATATAATTTAAACATAATTTAAAATTCAGAAATAGAGACACATTAGTGACAACCATAATCTGAGGCAAAATTCAGCAGCATGTGTTGAAATGCAAAATGCTGTGTACATGTATATGCCTGTAAACACATGTGTGCAGGTGTATACACACACACACACACACACACACATATTTGATTTGTAACCTGATTCAAATAAATTCTCTTTAGAAGCCTAAAATTCTGTGCTCAAATCACAGGTTTGTCACTTTATGACAAAAGGTCTCACTTCCGTCCTCTGTATCATGTGACTGTTATCTGCCATCTATGACTACTGGCAAGATTAAAGGGATAACAATAATATGTGAACTATTTAGTGTAGCTTCTTGCATCTAGTAGGTACTCAAAACTAATAGCCATTGTGACTTTTCATTTCTAACTTCTCATACAAAGTGTAGATTAAAGATCTTTCAATTTATTATCATACTTAATTTTTCTTGTCAGATGATATATATCATAAACCTGTTTTACTTTGGTGACTAAAACATAATGCAGAGCTGTTTGTGGCATTCCTTGTGGCGATGAGAAAGCTAGGGTTGAGGAGGAGGAGGGGAATAAAATTTATTTTAGAAAATATGAGAAATTGACAACCATAGAAATTGCCATGCAATGTTATACAGTTAGACTTAGTAGCTTTTTTTTTTCTTTTTATAAATTCTCTTCTAGGAATTAAAGTGATAATCTCAACTAACAAGTTCGCACTAGACATCTCTCAGAGAGATGGTGTCAAACTCCACTTGCAGTAGCCTTGCCTATTTGTTGGTGCTGATTGCATGAACCAAGGGTTTTGTGACTAAACCTAACCAGTATTATATAATTCAAGTTCAAATCACTCCAAGGTTTTGCTCCAGGTTGCACTATCCAATATTAACTGTTTGCTTTAAGAGAAAATTTCACTAAATCAACTTGGTGAATATCTCTGTATTTTTGTAATGACACAAACTTTGTACAAAAGCTAAATTAACTACTTTTCCTTATAATCCAAGTTCTGTGACCCACATATTAAATTTATGTATATAGACCTAAGAAGTAGTGTTCAAAAAATCCTATCAGGGCTTGAGGTAGCTCAATGGTACATCATGTACATAGCATGCATGAGCCCTGGGTTTAAATCCAGGAGAAATCATAACAAATATACTTTCATTTCTATATTGTCTACTGTGATAGAGGCAACCCAAATTTTCATGAGTTGCATTTAAATGTGATACGAAACTAATTTATAACGAGCTTAGAAAGCATACCACATGGTTTGCATAAGAAAAATTCTACCCAGAGCAATTCTTAAAAATGCAATTTTAAAGCAATAGAAAAAAAATTCATCACATATAAATTCTGCCAGCTAAATTCTCATTCCTTTTCCTAACAAAATGTATAATCTTAAAATAGATTTATGATACTTTGCATAATGCTTAGTAAATTAAAGAGAACAAGTAAATGCAAGGTAAGTGTTGATGTATGGGATTTTTGTCTTGATGGCAAAAACTACTTTTCAAATATTTTTGCTTTCAGAAAAATAATTCTAACTCGTTAAGAACTTACTCCTCTTAATTTATAAAACCATTCATATTTTGAGAAAAATTTAACCCATATAATTTTAATCAGTTTATATTTAAATCACATAAAATCAACATTTAAAGAACAGTCATGAGTGTATGCAGCCTTTGGAGCCTTCTTAATCTCCTTCCTTCCATAAACAGGAAGTCACATTGACCAAAAGTATACAAAATTTAAATCGAGAATGCTCTAGTTTGGTCAGAAGCTCATTAAAAGGACAGATTTTTAAAGTTTGAAATAACATGTTTTTTGAACCCTGAAGCTAAATCAGTTTGAAAAGAAAATTCCAAGTACCTTGAGGCAGATTTTTTCTTTATTACAAATGTATAACAGATGCTTAAATAAACCACTGCTGACAAGAGACCTCTAAATGAATACACCTTTCCAAAGTCCCTTCCCCTTTCCTCAATGAAGCATTCCTTTAAGTATCTTATCTCCTATGTCTTTAACTTTGCTGGCAGGAGAATACACTCCCTCTAGCCAGCTGTGCTGTTCGATGATGTCACTACTTCTCAAGTCTCACTCCCCCTCTGTCTAACCTGGTTCACATTGTTTCTCCAAACTCTGAGAATAATTAATAGAGATAACAGGCATTTCAGGGGCAAAAGGGAGAAGGCAAAGCAATATGCCAAAACAGCTACTAGATAGTGAAGGCAGTGGGAAGTGACTCATAAATGTCAGAAGGCAAGAGGGGCATGAAAGGTTCATTAGGAGCAAGTTCAGTTAAAGAGCTAACTGTGGAGATGTGGTAGAATTTTAAAAAATGTGTATACCTGGGGGATGAAAGGGAAATGTTTAAGAAACCCTTAACCTTCAACAAAATTAATAATTAAAAGTTTATAAAATAATTTCAAATTTGTAGTATTGGATATTGTAATATTTTAACAACTTAGTTAAATAAAATATTTAATTATCTGGTTTATTTTTTAGAGTTCACTTTTTAGAGAAGAGAGACAAATAATATGCAAGCAATCTGATAGCAGAGATTTATTTGGAGATAAAAAGTTTGAAGCATACATTTTCAGTGCACATCCATTGCCTTAGCCTGTGTCCTTTCTGAGTGGCAGCATAGTGCTAACTGCACAGACCAGGGTTTCTCAATAGCAGTGCTATTAACATTTGGGCTGGATATTTTCTAGTTTGGGGGATTGTCCTCTGCAGTATAGGATGTCTAGCAGCAACCCTAGAATCCACCCAGTAGAATGTAGCACCTCCATTACCTGATTGCAACCACCAAAATGTGTCTGGATATGGAAAAGGTCCTCTGAAGTGTAAAACCTGCAATAGGTGGGGCCTTCTGAGAGATCACTGAGGTGTGTTCCCAAGAGGATTGTGGTACCCTGGCCCCTTCCACATTCTCTCTTTTGATCCCTGACCACAAGGTGAGAGGTTATGTTTCACCACTTGCTGTCACCATTATGTGCCACCACCGGTCCAAAGCAATGTGAGCAACTTATCATGGACTAGAACCCCCAAAACTAAGAGCTAAAATAATCCCTTGCCTTTATAAGTTGATTATTTCAGTATTTGTTATAGTGACAGGAAGGTGACTAATATACTATGTGACTGGGCATCTATACTTTTCTGGGATCCAGTTTCCATGTGCATAAACTGATAGAAATAGCATAGCTGCCTCTCACAATGATAGTGGGGATAAGTGGGTGAATGCATAAAGGCTTTCACCTGTCTTTCCATAATTACCAAGCCCAAACTAAAGTTGAGTGTGGGGGGGGTTCTATCCTTTTGTCACTCTGCTTGCATCCACAGCTATGAGGGGAGTGACTACAGGTGAGGGACTGATTTCTTAGTACCTCAATTTTCTCATTTATAAGACACAAGTAAAGCTGTAGCTCCAACTCACTGGGGTGCTGAGTGCTGTTACATGAAAGTTAAGGGACAGACATCACACACTGATTAATAAAAGACATGTTTTAACAAAAGACACTAAATAAGAGACATTACTACATATGCTAGATATGGTCCTTGGATTTGCCTTAATGGACCCATCTCACTTATTAACTCTTCATAACTGATCCCTCAGGTGTTTGAATTTGTGGTACTTGCTCCAAATGGTACCAAGTGTAGCCATATACTCTACTTAATGAAGTAAGTAGACATCACAGTAGGAAATATTTGGCTTAATGCTGTCTATTGTTTGCATTAGTTGTTATTATTATTTGTCTCCCCCTAAACAGTGAGGTACTGGAAACCTTCAGGGACACTATAAGTCCCCAATGTAGAAATTCTACTTCATCAGATCCATACTGTTAGATGACTGGACCCACAAATAACATGAAAAAGCAAAGGAATAAGTTTTCCCAAACAAATCAAGATACTCCAATAACAGAATCCATTGGACAACACAGTGGAAGAAATGTCACAGAAGTAGTTTAGAATGTACATAGTTAAATTAATCTGAGAAGTAAAGGATGGTATAAAAAATAAAATCAGAGAAAAAATCCAGGAAGTGAAAGATTACTTCAATAAAGAGGCAAGAGTTTTTTTTTGGGGAAAAAAAATCAGAAATCCTTAAAATGAAAAAAACAATAAACCAAATTAAAAATTCAATGGAAAGTATCATCAACGACTAGACCACTTGGAAGACAGAATCTCAAGCAATGAGGACAAAATACATAATCTTAAAAACAGAGTTAATCACATAGAGAAGATGTTAAGAAACCATGAACAGAAGTTGCAAGAACTATGGGATAACATGAAAAGACCAAATTTAAGATTTATAGGGGTAAATGAAGGCACAGAGATATTAACCAAAGGAATGCACAATCTTTTCAATGAAATAATATCAGAAAATTTCCCAAACCTAAAGAATAAAATGGAAAATCAAATACAACAGACTTATAGGACCCCATATGTGCAAAATTACAATAGATCCATACCAAGGCACATTATAATGAAAATGCCTAACATATAGAATAAGGATAGATTTTAAAGGCTTCTAGAGAAAAATATAGATTATATATAGCGGGAAAACAATTTGTGTCTCAGCTAATTTCTCAACCCAGACTCTCAAAGCTAGG